TTCCAGCTCTGGCAGCTGTTCGGGTGGGTGTTGGTTGTGGTGTCTGAGCAACGTGGTGCTTGGCGACTTCGAGCTGTACCCAGCCTCTTGAACGTGCAGCGCTGCGGTTAAGTACTGCAGAGTCTGTCTCTGGAGGGAGCGTTTCTCTCTGGCCCTGAGAAACCTGCAAAATTTAAAGTTTTTACTAGGTTGTTCTGGTTTTCCATTTTTTTACGAGGTTCCGGTGCCCTTTTGGTGCAGTGACTGTTCCCCTCTCTTGCACATATTGATTACCACAACTGGAGATCCTCAGATCTTTCAGCTGGCTAGGAGGGTTTTGTTAAAACTGTCCAAGTTACTGGTTTTTGTAATTGTGTGTAGGTGGTTTTAAAATGCATTAGGAAGAAACACTAATGACGTAGCACCCATCATGATAAACATTTCAAAAAGCACTTCAGTAGAGGACAGTCATGTGACATCACGTAGGCAGGCGTGATGACAGTCAGCTCTCCTGGACCAAACCACCTTCATGAAACCATTGCGTTCTGTGTTTGCAATTCAAGCTTAATTCCTTTTTTGTCCTGTTTGTTTCCATAGCGCTTTTTTTTGTTGTGTTTTGTGCATTTTGAATAGCTTTATTCACATGGGTTTTTCATGCAGACTTCACCCTTGGACAGTAAATCACGTTGTTTGTGCATGTGAACAACTGAGAATTAATGTTGGCTTGATAGAGTCATAATACGGTTTGTAATGTTCTTCCCTGAGACCACTGGCTTGTCTGGTATGGAAAATTTATTTAGAACTTCAGCTATGTTTGAATAAAGTTAAAAGTAATCCAGTTTGTTTATAAATTAAAAACAGAAAGCCCACCCAGCCCTGAAAACCAGCATTTTGACAAATGGTACCGAGATGTGCTAATGCCGTAGGATAACAAATGGGCATCGCTGCGGGGAGCCAGGCGGCTTTGCTTTTAGCACTCGGCTGTTGTTCTTACCTGGCTGGCAGGGAAAAGCTGCTCGGTGGCCCAGAAGGTGGTTTGGTGGCCCAGGAATGTGGCTCCCGCGTAAAGACAGAAGTGTCAGCTGTGTGGTGCTCGGCGAGATGCTCGTTTGGGGGAGCGGCGATAAACTTGACGCAGAAGCCGAGCGTGATGGAAAGCGTGAGGCCAGCCTGTGTGCACCAGGTCTTTCTCAGCATGATGCCTCTGCTCTTTGAAGCTGGTTCTGAGCAATGTATGGTTCTAGGCATGTTCGCACCGATGCTCCTCTTGGTCTTTGGAAACAAAGGAAAGACAGCCCAGTTTGCCCAGGACGACTGGTCACCAGAGGGAACTGCTCTCAGGTCCTCTGGGAACTGCTGAGGGCTGCTTGGTACAATCTGAGTCCAAGCAAACACCACTCCTGTTGTTGGTATAGCTCCATACATATATATCTATATATACATATATATATATCTGCATATGTATATCTATAATATAGATATATATATTTAAACCCTTCTCATTCCATTAGTACAAATAACGCTTGTTTCCTGTTACTCTTACTTTGTTTGTCAACAGTGTGTTTAATCACTGGGCTGAACAACAGCGGAGGAAGGTGCAAGGGATCCACTCCTTACTAACCAGTGATAAAAGCCAGATATTGCAACTTAACCCATGAGTAGCTGTGCAGACAAGAATGCAAAAATGATGCATAGAAACAACACTAGTGGCCAGGGGTGCTGAAGATACAGAACTGTAAACAGGCAGGAGGGTTCAAAGGATGCCTCCGTTTGGGCACTGGTTGCTCAGAGGCGACGAACGGCCTCTGCGATTGAACACAGCCAGGTGAAATGGAACTGAGAAATGTTTGTGTGGAGACGTGTGGAAAGGGGTGTTCGCAGAGACACGGGGCTTGGCGGGAGCTGGAGGTAGTTTCCTGAGCTTGGTATGTGGGACAGCACTGGAGCTCGGGTGTCACAATTCCGATCGCTGGTACTGGTAAATAAACTGCTGGACTTCCCCGCCGCAGTGGTAACTTCATTGCGGGAGTTGAACGGTGGTTGCCATCGGTCTGGGTGAATCGGTCGCAACTTAGAGTGGGTCCGTTCTGCGGGTACCGCGAGAGTGTCGCTAGCTGGTGTGCGTGCATACGCGTGTGTGCTCATCCTTTTTTTTTGTATGCGTTTCATTGATTAGTAATCCCTTAGCATTTTCAGTAGGGCTGTAAGTCCAGTAGATTACGGGTAGTCAGTCGACGAAGATCTGGTTTACAAGAACTAATTAAATGTTTCATTGCATTTTGTAAGTACATAGAACAATTTTGTAAAATGTTTGTAGTTTATAAATGCCTAAAATATAATTTAAGGACACTTTTCTGTGTGTGCGTATGGGTGTGTCTGTATGGGAGCCGTTTATTTTGATGGTACCAGTTTCCGAGCTAGCTTTACACTATGCCAAAAAGGATCGTTGACGTGTCCAGCCCGTGGCGTGTCCCTCACCCCTGCACGCCCATGCTGCGTGTCCCAGCATACCACGAGTGACAGAGGAGTTGGGGAAATGTTCTGTATCTTCAGTATCCTGGTCTTCCAGAGCCCGCTGGTTGGGGTGGGATCATCTTAACTGGTCATTTCACTTGGCTGTCGAGGGCAGTTAGCACAACGGATTACAGAACCTCACTGGTCGGGGAAACAGAACGGGTTTTGCTGCTACCCAGTCTCACTTGTGCTGTTCAGTGCCTGCTTCACGGTGGCCGTGTGGTTTGAAGGATGCGACTGCGTGAGAGCAAGAGGGAAGACGGTTTTCATGATTACTACGGAAGAACTATTTGTAGATTTCTTATCACTTTAAAAGTTTGTATGCAGCCTCTAAAGATGCCGAGCACCAGCTGAAGCTTTGTTGCAATGAGCAAGGCAGGGTCCTATTTATTTTTATTTAAGAGTGTTGATGATCCCTTCCCCCTCACTCCCCCCGAGTCTGACTGACCGCGTTGCTGAAGGCTTGCGATGAGTTAGATGCTGTTTCAAAATCAGCTCTTCTGTTTTCTGAACCAGTGAGGCTTGAGATGAAAGGATTGGCCAGAGTTTGTCTACCTCTGGGACAGAAACAAAACTAGAAAGTGCTAAGGAATGGATGCAGTTGCAAATACAACATTTTCCAGTTTTTCTTGTTTAAATTTTTTTAAGAGAAAATTAAACAATAACATGGCCAATTTATTACATAAAGACTTGCTGTGTATAAATTATTCCTAAAGAAATTCCTGTGTTTATATTAAAATGAATCAGTAGATAAAAAAAATTTCAAAATGTTTTTGTATATTCTGTTGTAAGAATTTATTCCTGTTATTGCGATATACTCGGGATTCTTTACATTATGAAAAGAAGAAACTTTGTCTATTTTGAATGGCTGAAGCTAAGGCTCCTTTAGTTTCTCTTACTCTGCTTTTTTCTAGTAGTTTCAGTACTACATGATTTAAGTTAAATAAAAGAATTCTGTATGCATTTGCCTGTTTCTCGGTTTGTTGCTCCTTATGCAAAGCAAGGACAGGTTAGAAGACTGTTTTTCTGGCTGCATTTAATTGAGCTGCTCTGAATAAATCTTAGTAGGGGTCAGCACTGCCATTACGTTGTGTTGAAATCAAACGTATTTTCATCGAGTGACACCGAGCTTGTGGACCCTTTCTCAGTGGGACTTCAAGTCCTGTAGGTAGTTCCCTTGAACAAGGTAAGGGGGTTTATTTATTTGAAGAAGACCCAATTATTTGCCCTTGCAGCAATGCGTAGATGAGGCCTCCAGCCATCCAGCACAGGGTTATCAGGTTTCTATAGCGGCCGTTGGAAGAGCCAGTGGTGAGAAAACTGGAATTATCTTGGCGTTTCCAGTTCCTCTGACTCTTGTCATCAAAATGTTGAGTGAAATAAGGCTCGATGGTGGCCCAAAGCTCCATCAGCTGTCCGTGCTTTTAGGTTTGTCTGATGTCCTTTCTGCTGAAGTGATGCTTGCTTCCCTGGAGAAATCTCAGGTGTCCAGGTGAAGCTGCTGCTGTCCTGCTCTAGTGACTGGTTTTGAAAAGCACCTGCTAATTTTATCTCGTCCTTGTCTGTCACTGTGCCAGCCAGACTCTGAAGGAGAGCGTGCGCTGACGTTCCCTGCATGGCACCCCTCTGTCCTGCCCAGCTTTCACGGCACAGCCCTGCTCTGCGTAGTGGTTTGAGACATGGAGGAGCCTGGCATGGCAGGGGGGAAGCCGGGAGTGATCTGTCACTGTCCGATTCCAGGTCTCGCACTTTGGGATTGCCTTTGGTTCTTGTTCTGGCAGGAACATGATGTGCCACAGGGACAGTTGTGTTTCCTGGGACGAGCCAGCTTTCTGATGTTGGTGGCCTGTTCTGCTGCAGGACTGCTGCCTGGTGCTGTGTGGAAGGACTACCTGCAGCGTGTTCCTCTGGGACAGGCACTGAGCACGTGGGTAAGTGGTGATGGTGGGCAGCTGAAACCCAGATTACTGACAGCATTACAGCTCTGGCTGGATTCCAGCCTTTTGTTTACTTTCTTTTAAGTCACCCCAGGTTCGCAGCCCATTTCTGATGTGGAAGCCAGCGTTTACAGCAGGTCACTAGGGGAGAGTTGTGAAACTTCACAGAACAGGATCCCTACGTGTGGCTTGCTTCCCCCCATACTTACATTTTTTATGTGGGTGCTTTGTAGGGCTGAACTCTCCGGACTTGGACAGGGGCTGAGCGGGACCCCTGTTAACGTCCC